GGGACACGGGGGACACGGCGGGACACGGGGGGACACGGGGCACACGGGGGGAACACGGGGGACACGGAGGGACACGGAGGCACACGGAGGGAACACGGGGGACACGGAGGGACACGGCACTGCCCGTGCTGGGGAGCAGCGGGGTCACCGCCGGCCCCGCCGCCCTCACCTGCGGGTCGGCGCGGTCCCAGCCGCGCCCCCAGCCGCGCCACACGGAGCCCCGCGGCAGCAGCTCCCGCCGCGCCGCCATGGCCCGGCCCGCGACCCTCGCCCCGCGGCGGCAGCGCGGCCCGGGCGGGGCGCCGGCCTTTAGCCCTTCTGGCTCCTGCGGGAGCCAGGCGCTGCCTGCCCCAGCCCTGGTTCCCTGTGCAGGCAGGGCGAGCACGCTCTCCGTCCTGGCTGCCGTCCGCCCGGGGAGACCCGACGGCCGGGCCGAGGAGATCGATCGCCGCTCGCACGTTTCCCCTACCGGGCCCAGCGGTGCCCTTCTTCCACCCTGCCAAATCCTTTCTCGCATCGGGAGATCGGATCACAGGCACCCCGAACTCAGCATATGCTTTTTGACTCTGGTTTGCCTGCATCTTAGTCTCCCTCCTAATGCCTCAGTCAATTTTCAAGGGGCTGTAAAAGTAAATTCATAGTATAAGTTACGATAAAGTTAGAAGGTCCAAGAGGAAACTAGCAATTCTCTTCAATTGTGAATTATGAAGACTTGAATCACAGGTAGACAAGACATTATTGAAGGCAATAAGGTAAAAAGGGAATAGTAGCATTATTACAGCTCATGACAATGAAAACAATCAATGAATAAGAAAACAATATGTTACCATTGTATTAATTACAATTTTCATGACGTGATGAAATTTGGATATAAACCCAAATTTTTGAACACTTATGTTCTTGATCTTCTTAGTTATCTTCACATACTTTCTGTATCACTTTTTCCATACTGACAAAATTTAAAACACAAACCTCAACAGCCCCCCAGCAGTTACTACTGTCCCCTGCAGGACTGAAGGCTTTGAATGTTCCAAGGACCAAGGATATCAAAACAAACTCCCTGCAATAATTATACATGGTTGTACGTAGTGTAAACTAATAAAATAGGCATACAGCATTCTTCTTTATCCCGAATTAGTTTCCAGTCTTTGTTTTCTTCAACTTGTTTCTTAGACCTTACCTTTCAATCTCCATCTCCTCTTATCTCAAACTTACCCTCTTCCTATAATAAATCCCAGGCTCCAGTTCTTTGGTTTCTCAGCTCTGCTCTCTCATTCACTTCTTGACTACTGTTTCTTTTATTTTATCCGTTTCTGGCCATTGTATTGACTGATACAATGTCCATCTGATTCTGGATGTTACCTTTATTTCCTATCCACTTGCACTTTGTAGATGTTTCTTCCATTTTCTAGTCTCAATTTATAATTTTCCTGCTCAGCCAAGTCTTATCTTTCTCTGTTGTGTTCAGCTCTCCCTCATCCTCCTCCCTACAGGAGAGGCTTGTCTTCAGACCGTGCTGTTGCACTGCAGGTGCCTGAGCAGGGCCTCTGTGAGCACCAGGGAGAAGATAGCTCATACACAGAGCTGTCAGTAGCAGCCCAAAAAACAGAGCCTGCCTAGTCCTTGGGCATGCCTCAAGACCTTTTGAAATACTGGCTGTCAAACATGGCAGGAGTTTCATATAAACTATTATTTCAAAGACAGAGACAATAATAAAACTGTTTCCAGTCCCCTGCCAAAAATGGTTTTATGCTTCTTGCATTTCTTCTATTTTGTCTTTAGACTTTTATATTGCATTTCCCACATTGTAGGCCTTAACAAAGTATTACAGCTTCTAATAAAAGGATGGACTTCTAGACGTTTTAGCAGGTGTTGAACATCATGTTAATTCTTTAGCTAGCTACACCTTCTTTTTAAAGTATTATGTTACTGTCAATTAAATTCTCTCAATCAAGCCATCCTGAGTCAGCATAAAAGCTTTTGGCTCAATTTGCTAGTATCATCAATGTTTATAAATTAAGAAAATAAATCTTTTAATAGGATGTATCAGTAACTGTTATCATGCCCACATATGAATCTGAGCTCCATAAAGAACTTGAAGCAAGTATCCCAGCACATGCAGGTACATTGTACTTTCTGCATCACAGCTACATGTACATATTCCACTGATTCCAAGCATTTTCTTAATTCCAAGTTTCTGCCAATTTTTTCTAAGTTGTGAAGAGTTTTTCAGGTATAAGAAATTCTCAGTCTTCCCTAAATTAGGTCTTGTCATTTCTTACCTAGTAAAAAGACCTAAAAATCTGTGAAAAGCCATATAAGCCAATTTATGCTGCGAATTCCTACACCAAATTCCTCAGCACTTCGCTGATATGAAAACACATGTGGCATGTTTTATAACAGCCACTTTAGCAGTTCAAAGTCCACGTCACTCTCATGCACTCTCCTGTTTTCTCTAGAAACCAGAACTACTGAGATGTTTCCTCCTTATCAATTTTATTTCTACAGACTTACCTTAAGACCAGTGCTATCTTGCTTGTCCATCTTTTAAGCTTCTTTTTTGTTAATCCTTTATTTCCAGTGCTGTCACCTCAACAGCAGTGCAGACAGCTCAGTTCTTGGACGCTCATTAGGAACAGTGCATCACATCTCCTGCTTTTCATGTCCTAAGTAAGTTAAATGTATACTTGTCAAAGTATGACTGCACTAATTCATTCATCACCTTGCATAGTTTACAAAGTCCAAGTGTACCAAAAAGCAATCAGTCGCAAAGGAGGATATTTTGCTTAATACAAACACTTACCAAAGAGGAATGGGTTTGTTTCTATTGTTTCCATGGGTGGGCTGCAAAGGCATTAACATCCAGATACTCACTCTGTTCTCTAAGATCTGTTATACCTCATATCCAGCAAAGTGCACTGAAATGTTTTTAGTGTTTTTTCCATCCATCATGTTTAATCAGGCAGAATCTACTAGCTGTTCATACAGAGTTTGCAATTAAAAAGCCCAAATTAATTTATATCTCATGCACTAATCTGCTTTGGAGGGAACTCCCAGTTTCATTGTTTCATCATGTCCAAGCACACTGAAGATACCGAGTTTCATAAGACTATATACACACCTTTGTCTTAGTGCCCTAGCAGACCTTCAAGAACTGATGATGCAGCAAAGAGAGGGGCAAGGAATAAAACTGGCAGACTGCTTCTAGATTTCTCCCCATGCATATCATCATCAACAAATCAACCTGCCTTCAGGCTTATTTATCTTTATCTAACAAAACTGAAGAAGCAGTATAAGTCAGTCCAAGACCAAAGGCTGGCAGCAGATATACTGACCACACTCATCATATGATGACTCTTTCTGCCTTTGCTTTAGCATGCTGTGGAAAGGCATTGTGGCAGAATGTTGTTCACTATAGCGCAAAATATAAATATTGTTTTACCATGCAGATTCTGAACTACAACAGAACAGAATTTTCTGCTTTGGTCTGTGCCTTACACACACATTCAGTGTGTGAAGGCAACCTCCCAGAGTGAGCTTAAGTCATGCTTTATTGTTTATTTCACAGTTGCATATATACAATGATTGTTCCAGATCTGATCATAGTAAATCTTCCCTCCTGCTGATTTTAGAAACTGATTTCTCAACAAAGGATAACATTACTTCCCTCATCACAAATAGAATATTTTTTTTATTATTAAATGATGATAGAACCTAAACAGGCATATAAATGTCTTGTTCACATGATAAACATGCTTCACAGGAGACAAGGAAGAGAATTTTAAATATTGAATTACACACAGATAGGACGTTTTCTCTTTTAGGCATGTCACCCATACAACAAGTAGTTATTAATATCTGAGTATGACTCAAAATCCCTGAACATAGTTCTGACATTGTATTAATGAAGAATTATTTGAAGTCAATTGGACAGTCTGCAAAACTTACTTTGTGAGAAAAACTGGTTTTGTAACTTTACAGTTTCTAGTTGCCACAGTCAGGAAAGTAGTGGGGTAAGTTTTGTCAACATGATGGTCACAATCACAAATAACCAAATATAATTCTCCTGGAATGCATTCTGAAATACCCCTGGTATAGACCCAAAGAAGAAAATGCGATAGAATGGTTTCATCCTGTTACAATCACAACTAGTTTGTGTGCTTGCAGTGATGGTCCCATGGAAACCAGTATATGGCTTCCTACAGCAGGACATCACAATCCAGAATGGAGAAAAAATATTTCACATGGTCTCTTAGTCTCTGTTACTAAATATTCTTAACAGAAAATTTGTAGGAAAATTAGTGGAGGCATTCTAAGAGGCCTTGGTGTAGAAGTGTGCTTGGCAGTTTTAAGGTGTAGTAACCTCCACCTCATGTGGATAAATGCTTTATAGTTCTAGAGAAGCATAATGTACCTTCACAGGACAACAATTATAGATCCATAGAATCATTTAGATTAGAAAAGACGTTTAAGATCAAACAACCATTAACCTAGCATTGCAAAGTCCACCACTAAACAATGTCATTAAGTGCCACATCTACGCATCTTTAAAAAACCTCCAGGGATGGTGATTCTATCACTTCTCTGAGCAGCCTGTCCTAAAGCTTGACAGCCCTTCCAGTGAAGAAAGTTACCCTAATATGCAATCTAAGCCTCCCTGGCACAACTTGAAGCTATTTCCTCTCGCCTTCTCTTGTTACTTGGGACAGAACTCTGACATCTGCTTCAGTACAACCTTCTTTCAGGTAATGAAGATAAACACAAGGAAGATGCAGGATCAAAGGATAACATTGTGGTTTTTATCTCTACATTCAATGACTCTTCAGATGGCATGTGTAGTCAAAGTATCACCTTCAAAATTTTCCAAGTTTCCAGGGAGCCTTTATTGACCAATAACACAATTCCTACTTCTAAAGAATAAGCAGTCTTGAAGTTTTTGCAGAATAGTCCTCAGGGAACATCGCATCTCTTCTGTTTGCTCTCTCACGCCTTGTATCCCTCAGAGTGGTTAATATATTTTTCAAAAGTATCACCTTTCAGAGTACTTCTAGAAGGTAAGGTTTCTGTCTGACTTAGCTTCCTGGACTGTGTCAAAATGACAGACATATGGATTGCTCCACTGAACAATCATACATGTCATTACATCTCCTCCAGACATTACCCCACTCTCAAATCCTCATTATAAAACAATTTTCAAAATCTGTATTTTGCTTTCCCACCTGTTTTTTCATACTAGACACAAGCTGGGGTTGGTACTGGGCTGATACTCTTCAACACCTTATTAGTGACATGGACACTGGGAGCAAGAGCACCTCAGCACGTTTGTCAATGACACCAAGATAAGTTGTGCAGTCAAACACGCTGGAGAGAAGGGATGCCATCCAGAGGGACCTTGACAGGCTTGAGAGGTGAGCCAATGCAAACCTCATAAAGTTCAACAAACCTAAGTGCAAGGTTCTGCACCTCACTCAGGGCAATCCCAGACACACCCACAGGTTGGGCAGTGTGGCCAGTAGATTAAAGGAGGTGATTCTGCCCCTCTGCTCTGCTCTTGTGTGACCCACCTGGAGTCACCCACCCT